GAGTGAAGCAGTAAACAACAGCAAAAAAATAATTATAAAAAATGATGACCTTTCTGTCCCGGAGTAGAGGATGGTCATGGATGCCAGGAAAAAATACTTTCATGACAAATGTTTTGTGTTCCAGTGTTGGAACACCCGATGTTTGTAGGCAGTTTGTTAAATCTGTCATATCTGTCTGCAATTCTGCAAAGGCTGAATGGAAAAACAAAAAAAATTTATAACTCCTTACAAACAATTTTGAAAACTACGGAAAGTAACATAGCAAAAAATAGTTTTCTGTGAACTGACCAGTATATAATATTAAATCTTCTTATAAAAAATTGTTTAATTTTTTTACCATTCTTCTGTTATTAATTTTCATACAAGTGGTTAGCTAAATTCTAGAATATATTTACAAGATCAATCTTTGCCCAAAGCTTTTGTGATTTAATTTCAAAATATTTATTTTATTCAACAATAAATGTTATAACCATAATTTTTGAAAGCAAAAAATCTAGAGTATTAAACAAAAAATTTTAACATTACCTAAAACATAAAACGTTAAACAGCCACATTTTACAGCACAAGAAGATCTATGAAGTTTTGTTTGGAAACTGTAAAACTAATATGAACTATACCGATGTCTTCCCCCTCGTACCTTGCTTACATTCAGATCGCACACTGTTCTCTAGTGTATCCATCTGAAGCTGGATCCTCTTGTACTCTTGCTCTGCCAAGGAATTTTTATGTCTCAAGACAATCAAAATGGCAAGACTAAGAAGCATAAGAAGGGCTCCTCCAACAGCTATCCCCCAAATAGCCTCGGGAGGGAACTTGTAAGTTTTCATCACTTCATAACGAAGGTAACCAACCTCATAACGCAGGTTTAAACCCACCCGCACCTAAAAGAATGAATGGAAATTCACAATTTTAAACATAGTTCAGAAATTCTGTTACACTTCAGCATAAAATTAGATGATTTCTGCATAAACTGATGAAAATACTTTTCTTTTGTTTCTCAAAAAAGGCCCTAGTTTTTTAGAAATATATAACATTGTCTCAAACGACATTTTATATATATATGTATAGGGTAACCTGTTCATCTGTCTATATAAATCTTTTTCTAGTCCTAGTTTTTTTAGAATATATATCATGTAAAAAGAAAAAGATGGGTTCTTTTCAAAGAAACTGATTATTACATTGATGCACCAAAACGTTATCTTTCTAGATACCTCAAAACAGTGTTTTATTTCAATGTTGTCCAATCAATGACCAGACTAGTGTTTGACATGGATATCCAATACTTGAACAGAACACCTGAAAGTACAATAGAGATATCTAGCTCACCACAACCATGGGAAGTGCATTGATGGTTGACCGTCCAAGCTCGTCTGTTCCTTGTGGCTGGTCCTCGGGAGGTAGACACACCAGTTGGGTCATGGCTAGTGAGGTCAGGTTGCAAGGTCGAGTACCAATACTTACACTGACCTCAGACTCCATGCTGGCTAGACGAAGATGTTCTCCCTGTTAATTGAAATAAATATTTTTTTTTTGTAATTACAGTTTCTCAAGACTTCAGTCAAATATACATTTAACGTATTAAACTTTTATAAATTATACTGAAAGCAAAAAGTGTATAAATAACCTAAAGGTAACAAAGAGTTTAAATAACATTTTCCATGTACTTTATCAAATATTCACAATCATCTGTTGACCATAATTCAAATTGAATGATAAGTATTGCAACCAGAATATGGATTTCCAAGATGTCTTCACAGACATGAATAAGAAATGTTTAAGGCGTGTGATTTTTCAAAAGCATGTTAAAATATTTTAGTTTTTTTTTTACCTCAATAACTAAGGATTCTCCTTTGTATAGTTTAATTCCATTTCCATTGAAAGAGAAGAACCTTGGATCTGGAACGTACACCATATCCGAGTGCAAGGCTGGAAAGTTTGCCTGAAGTTCCCTAACACTGGTAACATCATCCATAAGAAAACCGATCTGGAATTTGAGCTCATCTGCATGCACCCCAGTGTTTCTTTTACTGTTGGTCAGGAGGGATCGAACAGCATCTCTACTCAGAGATGGAGAGGGGCACACCATCTGAGAGTTACTGACGACTACACACACCTGATGATCAAGCAAGAAATTTGATTCATATATACTGTTACTTATTGGAGAAACATGCTGACGTATTATACTAAAATATATAAAGCACTTCTAATTTTATTTCAAGAAATAATTATCATCGCTATCCACTCTAAGCTACCTAATACACGTTATTTGATGTTGTACATCTACTTCCAAAGTCTAGTAAGTTGGTTCAATTACATAGTTTGTAAAACATCCACTTTACTACGCGTTAGTTGTTTGTTATATTTCTTACGTACACAGTACTGAATTTTGTAGAATATTAGTAGTTGTTGTTACAAATTCTCAAAAATTCTTAGTCCGTTGTCATTACAGTTTGCAGATGAACAATGGTGCTTTATCATAAAAAACAAATTAAGGGCAAATTACACACCCCAGATTAGAGCAATAAACAGTGGTGAAACTCTGAATTAGTGGTTAGTATCTACACTATTTTATCGGAAACCAAAACCTATTAGCACTTACAGTCTCGTTAAGGAGTGTTTCGTTGTTAAAAATAGCCATACGGGGTTGTTGGATAGCTCGTAGAGAAGTTCCCACTACTGTAATACTCCTTCCACCACTGCAACATCCATTATCAATCAGATAACAGTAAATACATAATACTACAACATTTATCATGAAATTATTCAACAGCTTTTATTATAAAACAATATAAAAAAAAAGGTTTTATATATATGTATATATGGACAATATTTCAAGTTTAACCAAAATGGTTCATTTTAATAACAACATCTCTTTCTGCTGACAACAGCAATTCTTCTGTAACTATCTACAAGGATGCTTTCTTCTCTTGGAATGAACCATGTACAGTTAGGAACCAGATTAAGTAAAGCAAAGTGTATTGATAAAAATGTACAAATATTTACAAGGAAAATTATCTTCCTCTTATTCTGTTTTGGTGGAAAAATAAACAGACCCGAGAGGACCGACTAACTAAATCCAACAAACTTCAAACAGACCGTTATCAGATTTGGAAACTATTTTTTACTGACATGTAACCAGAAGGAAAATGTAAGACATAATGTGGTCAGATCTAAATAAATAATGAATATTAAAAACTCATCATGGCCATTCCATCCTTAAATAAACTTTTCAAAACTGATGACACTGACAAAAACCAAATTTACCTGACAAAGCTCTTTAAAGGATAGATCCTTAGTATTGTTGGGTTAATGGTATACGTAAAAGGGTTCGATAACAATAAAGTAGCATTGTCGATAATGAGTATTAGTGCCGAGACATTGTAATCTGGTGTTGGTGCTCTGGTTGTCCGACAGCTGACCTGACTGTTGCTTGCTAAGGTTCTGAAAAATATCAATACACCGAGTTCTCCTACACTGATGCAAGCATGACAAATTTAATTAATTATTACAACATCAACTCTTGAGACTGAATTAAATGGGAATATTAAAAACACTGTTCATAACCTCTTAGGTTACTTGAAAAGTAGGTTTAGCAACTGATCAATAAGGTCAACCATTCCCTTCTTGTCATGCTAAAACTCTTTACATGAATAACATTAGATGATCCATGAAAAGCAAAATAAAATAACAAAGGTGGCCTTTATTTGACCACTTCTAAAGAATTATGTATATACAAGATTTTAACTCAGACTTTCTTTAACAGGTAACATAGCTTTGTCATCTTTACTCACCTGTTTCCACAATTTACACTTAGAGTAAGAACAGGTAGAAAAAATACTCAAACAAGTTCTTGATATTATTACATTTTTACTAGTGTTTTATGGAAATTAAGATAGCAAGGAGTTAGCAGAAATAACATTATACTAAGAGTAAAAACAGGTAGAAAAAAATACTCAAACAAGTTCTTGATATTATTACATTTTTACTAGTGTTTTATGAAAATTAAGATAGCAAGAAGTTAGCAGAAATAACATTTATACTGAGAGTAAGAACAGGTAGAAAAAATACTCAAACAAGTTCTTGATATTATTACATTTTTACTAGTGTTTTATGGAAATTAAGACAGCATTTACACATTATAACACTTAACATTTCATGCCCTTACCTTTCTAAAAACATTTATAAAATAATAAACCGTACCAACTTCATGGATTGGAGTATAATGTGACCATACTAAGCTTACCTGTCTACGATACATGGCAATCCATCTAAATAAATGGCCATTTGACTTCCAACATTAAGGTTTTCTCCACTCAAATACAATCTAGTTCCTCCTGCTTGTGGTCCAATGACTGGATCAACACTTTTCAATTTCACTTCCTAAGAAGGTTTGTAATATAAATAAAGAATTTATATTACCTATTATTTACACAACAATCTCGATTGGCAGGTTTATTTTTAAGATACACATTATAAAACAACAAAAAAAAAAGACCTTTTAACTTATCCGTAACTTGAAGTTTGAAGACAAAGTCCTTTCTTCGCGGTGGTACAGGGTTCCAAACTCAAATGTGGTTAATAACAACATTATAAATACAGTGTCGGAAAAAATAATTCAGTAACTGTTTTGAATATTAAGCACAAAGCTACATAATGGGTTATCTGTGCTCTGCCCACCATGGGTTTCAAAACTCGGTTTCTAGCATTGCAAGTCTGCAGACATACCGCTGTGCCACTGGGGGGACAAATTCAGTAATAGGAAAACAGTTAAAATGGTCAAGTATAATCACACATTTTCAGTAAGAATTCCATAAAGAGGCTTTTTTCCAGTGTGTAAAACGGTAAAAAATATCTGAGGGAAGAAAAAAAAACAAAAATATACCTTATTGTCCTTAATTATGCAAGAGTCTACAGTTAGGACATTGTATAAAACATGAAAAAAAAAACCTGGTTTCAGTGTGGGCATATATAATTTGTGAACGCATACCGAATCATTATTTTTACGTGTATATAATCTGCCCACCCCTTTAAAAATACAAAAAAGAATGCCCACAAATCGAGACGAAAACATCGGCCACACAAGTATTCCTAGATCAATAACACCAGAAGCACTTTTTGAAAGTAGTATCTCTTTGTGTAACTTTTACCTTTCTTTAATAAAGAAGCGTTTACATTACTCTTAACATAACCTTCATCCCATTTTTTTCGATATCTCACGTTTAATCAAACCTTACCTTATATAAAAATTGTTCTTGAGCTACAGTCACACCAGCATTATTCCCAACCACCACCTCAGCAGTTCTGGGTGTTTCACTCAGGCCAGTACGACAAACAACTCTAAGAAAAAGAAAGAAAAGAAAAAAGATTCACGAATACCCTGAATTTTACACATCCAGAAACACCATTTCGCAGTTTGTTGTAAAATTAAAACACTCACTGCACAAAAATAATTAATTTCACACATATACATATGTGATTATACATACAACTAATTTGTTGGTGGTTCTAGAGATACCGGGTGTGGCAAAAATAAGTAATCCATACGCACTATTATTCAATTTAGCCATCCATACTCTTCCAGCCATCTCAGCATTTTCCAGTATGTCTGTAACAGCCGTTTACAAACACATTTATATTTCAGCTACACCTGGTTACCAACTTGTATCAGATCGGTGTGCAGTGTTTAATCATTGTACAGCAATCTGTACTTTCAACAGTTCTTGTACAGTACAAATAGTAACACATCCAAATCCCTTCTGGGATCGAAAGGCAACCCATTTAACCACATGGGAAGTTAGGAAAAGGTTTACTTTAAAGTGCTGCAACTCATTAGTTATACTTCAGATGTTTTTATAACAATCTTACCTTATTGACACACTATATTCAACTGGAATGCACGGAATCCCACCAACAGTGATCTTGTTGTTTATTTCTCGCTCGTTGGTGCCGAGATTACTTCCCTCAATGGCAATTAAGGTGCCACCTTCAATAGGCCCACTTAATGGATGAATCTATCAACGAGAAAGGAAGACAATTAGTGTTACAAGTATACATACACACACACAGGAGGTGAATTTACACATTCTATTTGGTTTACTCTTAATACCCTAAACATGCTAATAGCATTATGTAAATTTCCATTTTGAAAAGGTGTGAAACTTTGGGTCTCTAGTTAGACAGAGGGAACAGTCAGTCTGTCCTCCATGACTTCCCAGGAGATGACACTTGAATAGCGTGACTAACAAGTATTAGATAACGCAGTGCATTAGTCAAAATATCAAGACAAAACAGTAATTTGTGCACGCTGCACGTTTGATTAAAATGGACAGCTAGGTTTTACTAAATACAGAAATTTGACAAAACAGCAAAATATTGTCTAAGAACGTTGTCTTTTTTTTTGTAACAATTGTTTTCTTAAATGCTAAGTCAACCAACGGGTTTAAACACACACACACACAGGAGGTGAATTTACACAAGACATATTTACATTATATTTGGTTTACTCTTAATACCTTAAACATGCTAATAGCATTATGTAAATTTCCATTTTGAAAAGGCGTGAACCAGAAAGAAAGATTACTCAATGCAAATGCAAAACCTTATTTAAATAACTGTCGTTGAATGTATTTCTTTATAAACATCAAAATATGCTTGGCATTATTTATTAAACATGTCACATTTTAAGGCTGCTACTCAACTGATCTGTTATATCTATTTATAGATTTATTTTGTGTTGATGTCAACTAGACACCAATTCTTTATATCAAGCAAATTTCTAAGCACCAGGTGTCATCCACCTCACACCAGGTAGCATCCAATAGTTAAGAGCCTGGTAACACCCAACAGCTAAGTGTCATCCACATGCTAAGAACCAGGTAACACCCAACAGCTAAGAGCTAGGTGTCATCCACCTGCTAAGAACCAGGTAACACCCAACAGCTAAGAGCTAGGTGTCATCCACCTGCTAAGAACCAGGTAACACCCAACAGCTAAGAGCTAGGTGTCATCCACCTGCTAAGAACCAGATAACACCCAACTGCTAAGAGCTCACTGCTAATGTTAAGTGTCAAAAGATACAAATTGTTTTGTTTGGTCAATTTTTCTTTGTTCCAAGATGATGTGATTTTTGACACACACACAAACAGGACTGTCTAACAGTAAAAAAAAAGGTTTCTTAGACATGAACATAATCTGTGTCACAACATAATATATTTCATAAACCTGCCATAATGTAAAAGTCCCAAAACTACCAGTTATACATTATTAACTAATGATTTAATGTATAAGTCAGCTTTTTTAATATGTGATCATCTTTACAAAACAGATTCAAAATCTTTACGTGTACAGATTCACTAATAAAAAAAATGCACGTTTGGTCGCTACTTCGTCTTATTCTAAACAGAAGAGATTAACACTCACCCAGTCCACACGAGGCAGGGGACAAGTCAGTGCTGGAGTCTCAACACAAGAGTCACTGTAGTGGCATTGGTTACCACACCAAGCACACCGAAACTTTGGGTCTCTAGTTAGACAGAGGGAACAGTCAGTTTGTCCTCCATGACTTCCCAGGAGATGACACTTGAATAGCGTGACTAACAAGTATTAGATAACGCAGTGCATTAGTCAAAATATCAAGACAAAACAGTAATTTGTGCACGCTGCACGTTTGATTAAAATGACAGCTAGGTTTTACTAAATACAGAAATTTGACAAAACAGCAAAATATTGTCTAAGAACGTTGTCTTTTTTTTTTTGTAACAATTGTTTTCTTAAATGCTAAGTCAACCAATGGGTTTAAAAACAAAGAAAAGAGGTTCTTATTTAGATAGGTAACATACGAAATATACCAACTAAACTCATCTTGAGAGATACAAAATACATGTTTCTCATTGTGGTATGTACAGAATTAAAATCAGTTGAGAACAATTTTATTAATCTTTTTTAATATCAGTCAGTCTTCATTTGATTTTAAACATGAAAAAGTTATTTCAGTATTATATAAAATAATCAATACGAACTTCTGATCAAAGCAAGCTATCTTACTTAGATCAATCATATAAATAAAAATTAACCCCCAACCGGGTAACGAGTAGAACCAATTAATGTAAAAATTAGTATGACGATAATGTTCTGGGAGATTAAAAAAAAAGTATAAAATAAACACTTCTTAAAAATAACTTTTGCTACCATGAAAAATGTTGACATGAATAACATTATAAGTGGATTTTAAACCTAAATGTGCCGGAACACACAAATTAATACAAAATGTTGTCCCTTTTGAGTCAATTTTTTAATACTGTAATACAGGGTTTCATCAGGGGGTAAGCCCTCAGAGATAATAAGGTAATAATTACCTATTATTTGATCTATATAGGTGTCGCCATGCCAGAAAACTGTTAATGTAACATTTAACTGCTGAACCTCAGCTTTATACCTATACTGTGAAAAAAAAAAAAACATTTTCAGTTAATGATCAATTAATCCAACACATTTTCACAATTATGTATTTAAATTGAGAACTAATATAATCAGAAGCTGATAAGTACAAAAAACTCTAGAGCAATGTCAAAAGGTTTATGCTACTTTCTTTTTAACATTTCAAATGTGGTGCTGCTTTTAGCAGCACACAAGTCTTAATATCAAATAAATCTGAAATGAATTTCATTCAGAGATCCTCCGAAATACGACATTTTTGGAAACTTAAATCAAATAAAAGCAAAGTGCGTTTTCCTAAAAACGTCATACAATCTTACCAACGTTTCAGCACACATGATTTTGTTTCCATGGATTCTCGCTAAAACTTGTTCTTTGGCCCCTTCTATTTCTACAACACAATGAAAGTCGTCCTACAAAAACATAAAACCAACAATTTAATTGTACTTTCCGTTAAGTGGGATCAATTTCCAATATAGATCTTTCTACCTATGAAGATAAAAAAAAATATTTATCCCTATAATTAATATAACTAATTCAATATACCATTCCGACAAGGCCATTAAATCTTTATACATTCTTGTTCTATGTGTACAAGTTACCAAACAAAGAGAAAGAAAATTGTTTTTGTTTTTTGTACACCAAAACGTGAACTTCAAATGATGAAAACACGACACAGAGGCTTAATCTATTATTTGATTTGTTACTCCTGCTATCTAAACACCTGAAATTAGCGGTGAATAATGGATTTACCAAATAAAATATTCTCTTTTCGACAAACCACTCTTATGCATTTGTCACAATTCAATTTTTCCACCATGAAAGGGAACCAGTTTTGTTTATAAATTTCTATAAACAGACTGGTTCTGGCTTTCTTTCCGTAAAACTGTAAGTTCTATGGTTCTGGCTTTCTTTCCATAAAAACTGTAAGTTCTAGTTACATAACCTGGTTTGCTCAATTGGAAAAACTAATTGCATATGATGCTGAAAACTGTCCTAATATATATATTTGTCTTTTAGTGTTAAATCATAATTCCTTAGTATAACTATCTTATTAATGCCTTGAATTTTTAGTTGAAAAAAAAAAACATTTACAAACCAATGAACTAGGAAGATTCTTCCCATCTAAAGCAATTTCCTTTCTTACACCATTAGGAAGAAGGATTTCCTCATTCGTGGCAAAACTAGGACAATACCGCCTTCCTTTCATGAGAGAGTTCTGTGGATTCTGTGCAAAAAAGACGTCGTAGTCACAATTTAATTCTTGACGTACAAGTTATGCACAACACTGACAGCTATAAATCATAAAACGTAGTATATATATATATATATATATCAATGTGAGTAATCTATATACTAATTTCAACTAATCTTATCTCTAATGAAGTGACTGAACAACTCGGGTTTGTTTACTTTCCAATACATAACCTAAGAAAATCACATTCTTTCAGTACTTTCCTATCAGTTGAAATGTATATATATAAAAAAATAATTATCTTTAGCAAGAGTTCATTGTAAAACCAGCCGCAATATTTGGTTGGCAAACCACTAATTATCTGAATGTAACAGTGAATCTCCACATAAGCAGAACAAAGTAAAAAGCATGCCAACTGAATTTATACAGTTTTATGAGAAACAAAAGTGTGGAAACTTTTGAGATAACAATGTATAATAACTGTTTTAGATACAGGACTTGAAGATAAACATAAATCAAAAGAAAGAGAAAAATATAAATACCTTTAAAATAGACAGATATGCATTCAAACATGTTAGTTAAGCTATAGAAGATGTAAAGTTATAAGGCTAGTCACCAAATTATAAAAATTTTTAAAGTCATGCCTTAAAGAGTACTTACGTTTTCTCCTGTGATTATAGTCCTTCGACAAGAACCAGCATTGTGCATACAATGGTTCTCTTGAAGACACCAGCTACAAGCCCATGAACTGGTAACACATGTCGAGCACCTTATGGGAAAAATCACGAGTCAAGATTTTCAACTATGCCACGGACCTAACATTCAGTTATGATCTGGCTAAAACAACTCCTTGTGCCTACATTGAAACTAACGACTGTCATTCACAGGTAGCTAAAACTGTACATTAAGTTCCATCTGAATACAGAGAAAACTAATAGCATACTCAGATCATAAAACATGGATTCTTGTATTTCAGCATCCAGATGTTCACTCTATACTAATTATAAAAGAACATGATTTTCATCTTTTACAAAACAGATACTTACAGCTACGTTAAAACTTGTATAATCCTCAAAACTTTTACAAAACAGATACTTACAGCTACGTTAAAAACTTGTATAATCCTCAAAACCTTTACAAAACAGATACTTACAGCTATGTTAAAAACTTGTATAATCCTCAAAACTTTTACAAAACAGATAATTACAGCTACGTTAAAACTTGTATAATCCTCAAAACTTTTACAAAACAGATACTTACAGCTACATTAAAACTTGTATAATTCTCAAAACGTTTACAAAACAGATACTTACAGCTACGTTAAAACTTGTATAATTCTCAAAACTTTTACAAAACAGATACTTACAGCTACATTAAAACTTGTATAATCCTCAAAACTTTTACAAAACAGATACTTACAGCTATGTTAAAACTTGTATAATCCTCAAAACTTTTACAAAACAGATACTTACAGCTACGTTAAAACTTGTATAATCCTCAAAACTTTTACAAAACAATAACAGAACATGGAAATGTAAACATTCTATATCACGTGAGAACATTAAATTTTCTTTGGTGTTTTATCCTTGACCCGAATTGAACACATTAAACAGAGAAGATATAGGATGAAATGTCTCAATTTTTTTAATAAGTTTCATAGAGCAGGAAAAACAATTCAACAGCTTTCAAGTCGCATGCTACACTTACGTTTTATGAACAGAGCAGTCATAAAAAGCAAAAGGTTTATGAAGAAAGTCAGTATTGGTTTCACTTGAACGAACTGCAAGGTCGACTGTGACATGATCTGCCAAATTCATGGAGAAAAAAAAAACATCCCTGAAATGTTACTGCTAAATCTATTAACACAACTAGTACAGTAATTTTATAAACATGACTTCATCACCACGATGCAATGCACTAGTATATTTATTTCAATCACAACCGACTCTAACACTACCATGTTTACAATATTCTCAAGTAATCCTTTCTTCAATTGTCATTTTTGATATTTTTCTTACTTTTTTCCATGTTATTATACATAATGCTGCTGTTTTAATATATAACATTCTTTTTCAAGATATAAAGCTTAAGAGAAAACCACTTTTTTTTTTATCCAAATAACTAGTTTGACTATTTTTTTCTACCTTTTTCAGGTAAAATAGGAGGGCGATCTTCAATTCTTGGTGTCATGCATGCTAGTCCTGCTCCAGTCACTCGAGCCCTGACTGTAGCACTGTTTCCAAACACACACAGATAATGTGCTCCAAATGGAAGATTGGGAAGTTGGTTGATGACCAGCTCCACCTTGTGAGAATAAAAAGCAACACTAAATTGCCAGGTGTACTGATTAAGCCGTCTTTATCAACGTACACATACAATACCGTGTTATCATGATGAGATTCTAAGATAAAAAAGGAAGATTAATTACTATTGAATTTCATACACGAATATGGTTGGAGCACTTCAAACTAAAGATCTGATATAAAATTACTACTGACACTTTCATTAATCCCTTATCCTGATGGATGATCATACATAGTCATTAAAGTTAAGAACAGGACTACTACAGTTCCTCCTACATCATGCAGAGTTGACTTTATCTTACTTGACGGAAGCCCCAAACAGCTCAATTCTGTCTTCCTATTATACTACAAGTTTGAAACATTGATTAGCTTAACGAAACTTTAGGTGACTTATACGACATATTCCCTTGAAGATTTGTTTAAAATAAAAAAGGGGAGTAGTTTTTGAGCATAGTGCTTCATTCATTAAGAGCATGTGATCAACTTGTATTTTCAGAAGAGTTTAGCACTAACAGAATGACTGAATCCAAATACGATCTTTGGATTAAAGAGAGCTTTCTCACTTTTTAACTATTTTTATATTTTCAACCCCAAACTTATATTAAAGTTTAACATAACTAAATATTTCAAAAACACTAGTATTAACATATTAACAATGCAATAAAATGTGTGTGTAGGCTTTTCATAAAAAATTCAAAAGCTTCCAGAGGATTTTTAGAACTGGAAGACATTTTTCGAGATCTTAATTTTATACCATCAAGATTTTAAGCTCTACGAATTTGTCTGGAGAATTGGCAGCTAAGGGCCTCCATTTTGACTTCATTTCTTTCATCATAATCTCATTCTCTGTATAAACTAAGACTCTAAAATCTTTATGATATTTGATTGTGAATGAAAAGTACCATCAAGAGTTAATTAAACAGAGATGGCCCAGGTTCGACAACTTTTTCTGATTGAATTATTTAAGCGAGGGTGCTTTATAATCTTATAGAAACAACCTGAACTTCATAATAATCAGTTCGGCATTCGACGATCCTGATAAACAAAAAAAGACTACTGGAGCAAGAATGAAATTGATGAATTTCTGTAAAGAATAATCGCCAAGTTCGTATTTCACTTATCTTACCATGGCCGTGCTGGTGATGGGAAGTTGTTCTGGCTTGACTGCTTGAACATCAATACACTGTTGTGTGTTTAATGATAGCCAACGGGGAGAACTAACACCAAAGCTGGTGGTGGCATTCTGACAAGCACTCTTAACTGTACACCTGAATTGAAATCAATTCCATTTTAGTGTAAAGTTATAACAGAAACGTATAACAAGAAAAAAACCAAAAAAATCAAGTACTCAATCACAAGTTAAAAATATGAACCCTGAAAGTATCAGGTAATCACTGAGTTGATTGAGTAGTTTCCATTACGTTTACTGTAGTACCAGCAATTCTGTTTTCAAAATGTCGTTGTTGTTGTTTTTTTTTTTTATTAAGAACTGTAAGAATGTCCAATCATAATACATGGTTTGTGGGCAAATTTAACCTATCACGTCACGATTTTTAATTCCCTTTGTAGGTCATTACAAATTTCAAATATTTCTTTTTAAATTAACTCAACAGCTAAAGTGTGAAACTTGCAATTTAATATCTCAGTTGTAACAATGACTTCTTTATGTATTACTTTCTCGCCTGAGGGATTTGATTGAAGTGTTTAAGATTATTAAATGTATTGATAATATTGATTCATCAAACAATAGGACAAGTGGTCATAAATTTAAATTTTGGCAGCGTAAGAGTCATCTGCAGTTTAGACAGTATTACTTTTCAAACAGGGTGGTGGAGGCAGAAAATTTAACTGAGTTCCGAAATGATTGGAGAAATACATGAGTAAAAAAGGGGGTGGTTATAGTTGGAAGCTGGAAGATACATCCTTGATAGGCTACTAAGCTCCGAGTATTTCATGACAATTAATAATGCTTCTAATTTTTAGAGAAACTTGTTTGCTTGTTGTTAAGCGCAAAGTTACGCAATTTTTTATTTATGCTTTGCCTACCGCGAGTATCGAAACCCGGTCTTTAGCGTTAAAAGCCTACAGACTTGCCGCTGTGCCACTGTGGGTCTTTTTTTTTTTAGAGAAAGAGTTACGAAGTTAGGTCTGGCATAGCCTACCGGTTAGGGCGATCGACTCGCAATCTACGGATCGTGGGTTCGATTCCCGTCACCGAACATACTTACTCTTTCCGCCATGTGGATGTTATAATGTGACAGTCAATCCATCAATTCGTTGGTAAAAGAGTAGCCCACAAGTTGGAGGTGGGTGGTGTTGACTAGCTGCCTTCTCTCTAGCCTACCACTGCTAAGTTAGGGATGGCTAGCGCAGATAGCCCTAATGTAACTTTGCATGAAAGTCAAATCAATAATGAAGTTTTAATGATAGCTTTTCTTGGAAATATGAAAAATCAAATAACATCTACAAGCTCAGCACTTCAAGTAGAAACCAATGTGAACAAGACTTTACGGAATAATACGCTCTTTACTAACATATAAATTGCTTTTATTTCATCCCTCAAGATAAGAATGACGTCATTAAGAGAAACCGCTGGAATTTCAGAAAGAACAGTGTACCGTAAACAAGTTTCAAATTTCTCCGCTGTTAAACACCGCCCATAAAAGTCGTTCTAACGTTTAAAAGGCACCTAATAAGATCACTATAAACACATAGTTGGTTTGACCGAGTGTTTATAAACAGAACTAGCTGTAAATCTGTAATCCGACACTGTTTATCGTTCAGACGAAGTTAAAAAAATCGTCACGATATTGAAGGAAATATTAATGAATGTCGTTTCAGTAAACACTAGTAGGACTATAAAACACGCAATTCCTGACACCACTCTCTATCGGGTTAACACGCTTAAAACATAAATGTAGTCGAAAATGCACTGGGTCGTTAGTTGAAAATGTTCTAAAATCTTGGTTCATTACTAACCCTAAAAGCATGAGAACCACGTGCTCCCCGACTTGGAAGCTTGTTGTATTAACTGTAGCAGATCTTTAAGAGTGTGACCTCAGGGTTTTGTTTTGTTTTAATTTCGCGCAAAGCTACACGAGGGCTATCTGCGCTAGCCGTCCCCAATTCAGCAGTGTAAGACTAGAGGGAAGGCAGCTAGTCATCACCACCCACCGCCAACTCTTTGGCTACTCTTTTACCAACGAATAGTGGGATTGAACGTCACATTATAACGCCCCCACGGCTGAAATGGCGAGCATGTTTGGTGTGACAGGGATTCGAACCCGCGAACCTCAGATTGCGAGTCGAGTGCCTTAACCACCTGGCCAAACCTCAGGGTTCACTTGGTTTGTTCGTTTTAGAGTAAAGCCACATTGGGCTATCTACCGTGTCCACGCGAGGATTCAAACCCCGATTTTAGCACTGTAAGTTCGCAAACTTAGCGCTGACTCACCTGGGGGCTCCCAGTTAAGTTGGGTCGCTTACTTTAATGAAATTCCCTGGTTTATGACAAGCTGAATTTATCATCATAGGCCTGATTTATATTAATCACACAACCTTAGAGGCATATTCCACAAATGTTAACTCTGTTAGTTAGTTTGGAATTGACTTCCACCGTGATAAAAACGCTTCCCGTCGATACCGTAAATAGTGATTTTATCAACCACAAGTGTTCTAGATTTAGTTGTTTGTTACTGAATTTCGCCCAAAGCTACATCGAGGGCTATATGTGCTAGTTGTCCCTGATTTTGAAGTGACAGACCATAGGGAAGACAACTAGTGAACACCACCCACTCTTGGACTACAGTAGTTAAATAGTGAGATTTGACCATTACTCTTATAACGCACCCAAGGCTTCAGAATGCAATATGCAATTTTACGGTAGCGGGATGGAGAAACTATAGACCCTTGGATTCACCGTCCGGCACTTTTAACCACTTGTTCAGTGACGGGGTTCGATTCCGCCACCCGTAGATTGAGAATCGGCTGTCTTAACCACCAGGCCACGCCAGGGCCCAAATAATGTTAAAATGCGAAACCTACCTGCATATCAAACGGATTTTATATATTTGCTAAGCTTCAAAACATAAACGTTGTTAAACAACTTCTAATTACGCCATCTTGATAACGTGGACAAAGCGCAACTTCAGAAAAAAAAAACACAAAAAAAAAACATTATTCTGTACTACGCGTGTTTAGGTACATAAATCATAAAAATATTCTCAAGTACAAAATTACGTCATTATACACTCTTATAACAACACGAAAACATTCAGACTAGCCCAAGTTTATAGTTTTAATAACATTTGAAGGTTTTTAACAATTCGATTGTTAAATCGGATCAAGATTCATTTTTGTCTGTATTAATAATGTAGTATGAACAACTAATACCGTAGACTTACTGTTTCTCGAGGGAACACCAGCCGCAGTAAGGGTTTCTTGCTCTTAGACACAATTCACAACTGTTGTGCTGGTGACATTTTGCTATCCGTACTTTGGCTAACTACAAAAAAAAGGAAAGAAAAGTATTAATAAAAGAAACAGGGATCTGAAACTTGTTATATCACACACATTGCATTGCGTACCTAGTTGTTATTGTTGTTTTTTTTTAACGGTAACCACGAATCTACTAGTTTAGCACGCTTACCACTGGACCACACTTGGCTCTCCTGAAAACTTTCAAAAATTAATTCAGACTCGTTTCACTTCTCCAACTTGTAACTCTTACTAAATCAGGTAAATAAAACTTAAGTGTATTGACAACAGATTAAACAAGTTATAAATATTCAGTTTCTCGCTACGTTGCGGTTTACACCGATTGCTTATCAAGTCACTCACTGTCTGAGATATGAAAACGTTTTTGAATGAAAAGAAGCTTCTCTATTGGTCAAAATTGTAAGGCAAGCTCCAATACACCTCAACCAGTGCTGATTCCGGGAAAACGCAACCTTCATAATAGCGACGGGTCGACTGGGAAAGTGGAAAAATGATATCACAAATTTCAAGGAAAAAACAATTTTGGAAAGAGAAAAAAATATATATTGGTAATGCACAGCACGCTACGCTCCTGGAGCTAAAGGGTTAAAACCTCAAAGTGTTACTCGTAGTTTGATGTTTTTGTATATTGTTTAACAAAAAGCTACACAATGGGCTATCTGTGCTGTGCCAACCACGGGTATCGAGATTCTATTTTTAGCGTTATAAGCCTTTAAACTTTCCACTGAGGTGCATTGTATCACTAGAAATGCCTTTTATATATATACATATCAACTCAAACTGTCACAAACATAATATGATAACTGCAAATCTTTTGCAAATTAATAACATGTGCTCACGAGAAGACAAGCCTAACTTAAACACCTTCTTAGAATGAAGGTTTTTAATTATGGGATGCATTCAATATTACAGACGATAATCCACGACAGTAACGTTAAAGAAGTGATCAAAAACTTACCCTGTACGTAGAGGCCACATAGATGAACTGCCCTGACTTGTCCACTTGGAGGTCAGCTATGATTGGATTGCCTAAATCAATAGGTACCTCCTCAAACTCGTCTACGTCATCACCGCTGTTTATTAGTACCTTTAGAAGTTGAATATAAACAAAACAGAGTCAGTCACTAGTGCAGACTCAAACTCATCTACACCATCACCGCTGTTTATTAGTACCTTTAGAAGTTGAGTATAAACAAAACAGAGTCAGTCACTAGTGCAGACTCAAACTCATCTACATCATCACCGCTGTTTATTAGTACCTTTAGAAGTTGAGTATAAACAAAACAGTCAGTCACTAGTACACACTCAAACTCATCTACATCATCACCGCTGTTTATTAGTACCTTTAGAAGTTGAATATAAACAAAACAGAGTCAGTCACAAGTACAGATTTACCTGCGTTGAATATCAGAAATTTGGAAATTATAACTACACCACTGTGGCCCGTGGGGGTGTTACAATGTGACGGTCAATCCCACTATTCGTTGGTAAAAAGAGTATTCCAAGAGTTGGCGGTGGGTGGTGATGACTAGCTGCCTTCCCTATAGTCTTTCACTGCTAAATTGGGAACGGCTAGCGCAGATAGCCGTCGCGTGGCTTTGCGCGAAATTCAAACCAAACCTACACAAAGGGCCATCCGTGCTGTGCCCACCACGGGTATTGAAACCCCAGTTTCTAGCGTTGCAAGTCCGCAGACGTATCGCTGTGCCAATGTGGGGCAGGGCGGGCATATACGGCGACGTTGAGGAAAGAAAACCGCGTACCGAATATTTACGAAAAATATATATATTTCTATATAAAAAGTTCGATTTACATCGTGTAAGGGAGATTACGTCACAAAGATTATTTATTCGTGTCGAGCTACTACATCTCAACTGGTCACGCAACGTGAACATCTTATTTAGCAATTAAAATTACTTTGTGTTTAAAAATTCTAAGAAACGTATGAAGAATATTCGTTGATACGAAGAAGAAAAAATTTTTTTCATGGAATGACGAAAGTTATAAATGGAAGATCAAATATAGCTTTTGGAACCTGAACAGTTTATTAACCTCTTCGGTGTAAGGACTGTCTGAAACGAGACGTCTCGTATTACTAATTGCACCACTGTGGCATTTGGTAACAGAAACAAGCACAAACTTAAGCATAAACGTATATAGAAGTTGTTTCCTAGGTTTCAGCAACTTTCAAGACTTTTATTAAGGGAATATTATTTTTAAAATCCGTATTTACTATCCATGCAAACCAAACGTACAGTGTACCTTACGTACAATTATAAGCTTTTTTTTTGTTTGTTTGTAGTTATGCACAAAGCTACACAATGGGCTATCTGTGCACTGCCCACCACGTGTATTGAAAGCCGGTTTCTAGCGTTGTGAGTCCGCAGACATACCGCTCTGCCACTGGGCGCACACTTATAAATACATATAATGCTTGGAGACGGCTTGAATGGGTAATGAAGAAAAACTTTAATATAAGTTTAACATAACAGCAAATGTACAACATTTCGACAAAAGTTTTGTCATCATCAGATACCCAAAACCTTGTCGAAACGTTGTACATTTGCTGTTATGTTAAACTTATATTAAAGTTTTTCTT